CCCCAAAACCCCAAAACCCCAAAACCCCAGATATGAATGTTTATTTTAGATATTTATGAAATTAAATTTAATCCTCATATACTATATCGAATTTATCAAGTATCAGATTTATCATCATTCTTGATAATTCCTAGCAGCTAGCTCATCATAGATCGTCCATTTTCTAGCCATACAGTCAAACACATGCAAGCCATAAGCTCCAAAACAAACTACCTAAGTACTGTTGGCTTCACTCTTATAGAGGCCATCTAAAAATTCATCCTCAACGGGATTGTTTATATAGTGAGTGAACTCCTCCTTTTTGAAGTTATAGATATACGAAGTCTTAGAGCCAGTAATCAAAATTTCTTCAAAGTTTACTTGTATTGCATGACTCTTACTGTTCAATACTACTCTAAAATTTAAAGGTAATTTATGTGAAACCTTAGTCCATTTTGGTATAAAAGCATTTGGTTTAGATGGATGCAGATTAGCTCTTTTGTTAGGTTGGAAGCTCAGGGTCTCGTCTAATTGTTTCAGGTCTAGTACCTAAGTCTTCTGGATATTAATAGTTATTGGGAAGGCATAAAGTAGCCTTTCATTTACTATACAAATTATGAAATTTCCCTGATTTGAACTCAAGCCGTAAATCTCCTCAAAAACATTACTTTGAGTATCATATCTCTCCAAGATAGCTCTATCAGCTTTATTATTCTCCAGCTCAGAAGCAAAGTATAAGTATCTCTGGCTTTAAGTGCAGATCGAATATTTTCTTCGAGAAACAGCAAGTTGCAAGACCATAGGCACAAATTATCTTCTATCTTAGTTAAAGTATAGTATTTGATTGGAGAACACACTTTCAGTACCCTCAAACATGTAGATCATTCCATTTAGATACATAGATCTCATGTCCTTGAGTGAGTGATTGAATAATGCAAAGTCCTTCACAACATCATTCATTATATATCTGAGAATCATACTATTTCTATCGATTTGATATAGGAACTGATCAGAGCCTTTGAATAGCTTAATTTGATTAATTGATGTTGACCTTTTAGTTGGTTTGCTTTGAATAGTTGAAAGTCTTATAGGCTAAAGTACTTAAGTTTCATTTAAATCATCTGGTCTTTTAAATTCCTCTTCAGCCACAAAATTATTGTCAAATGAGCGTGTTGATAAATTATGAAAGCTGTTCTCCTAAATATTGAGTTGGTTATTGAAGTTATTGTTATTATAGAGGTTGTTATTGTTATTAATTATAGCTTGCTAGCTCTGTTCTTCCTCAAGGTGATTATAATGATAAGGTGATTCAAGTTATGGCTAGTGGTTCATATTAACATTGCTAGCTAAGTGATTAGATACTAACTATTACAGCTGATTTGAATGGTGACTCTAGTTTAATGCATTTTAATTGCTCTTTCGAGCTTGAGCGCTTTCTATTAGTTTTAGAGTATTGTCTACGTGTTTTATGTCTACTTTGAAGTGATCATTAATTATCTAGGATATATCCGTATCAACTAAGGTATTTGAAAACTCAAACTTCTAACTTATCTTCGGTTGAATATCAATAATCTTAGTCTATAAATCCTAGAGAGTGCTTTCAATTTACTTATTATGATTTTGGAACACCTATGTGTGATTTCTTATTACATTTTCCTTCAGCAAATCATAATCATTGAGATTATTATAAATCTTATCCATCTCCTCCAGTTTATCCCTCATCAGTCTAACCTCAGAGTACTTGTTGTAACACTCTTTAAACAGAACATTGAATTCTCTATACATATCTTCGCACTTTTACTGATATAATGACTACATGACTATTTTTTAGGCTTCTACTATTCTGATTAAATCATCAAAGACCTTAGCAATATCACCTTTTACACCATCTACTTCTTTCTATACTCTAGATTTAACTTTCTCCATTATCTGATAGTTCTCCTCCCAATCATTGAGTTGCTCAAGAAAGCTAGACTTGAATTCATTATACTATCTCTTGCAGAGTCTGGCTTACAAGGCAATAGTTTAAACTTTATGGCCCTAATTCTCATGCAAATCTAAGCATTTTTCACATATGCCTTTAAGATCATCCTCACAAAAGAACAATAACTCATAACCAGGATGCTTTAAGCAATATCTATCCTTGAGTGAAGGATTAGCTGACTTGAGTGAATCCTTTACCACACAGAGAGGACACTATTTTTACCCTTTAGATGTATTTAGAAGAGTAAGTTTCTAGTCAGGGTGCTTTGAGCACGCCACTTCATATCCTTTGTAGCTCATTTTGATTGTTTGTGTATACTCTTTTTTAATAAATGTTTTAATAGTTTTATTAATTTTATTTAGCTCTAATTCATAACAGTTTATCGTGAAGGGGTTTTGGGGTTTTGGGGTTTTG